CGCGCGTTTGGTATATGTGTGTGTGGTGTATGGTGTGTGTGTGCAATATATTGTAAGCATTAAGACTTTTAATTAATTATCATTTTACTAATTAATTCTTGAAATTATAATTCTTGAAATTATAATTCTTGAATTAGTTTTTGAAAAGTTGATAAATTTATTGCAACCATTTATACTACATATTTATGTTATATTTATTTGCATATTAAATCTGATAATGTTCATCTGTTACAGCACCTTCTATATTACGTATGCTGCAACATACAGTAGGTGACAAAATTTTTCGCGATGGAACTGCTATATATTTAAAAAGACAGTAGGTATATTTTATGTTATTATTTTTCTTTCTGTTTCTCTCTTCGCTATTCCTTCAAATTAATAATTATTGATTTTATTTTTTGATTTGTTGATATATCACAAGTAGAACACAATCAGAAATTAGCCATAAAATGGCCAAGAATTCTGATTACTAACCAGTATCTGGCCAGTTTGACTGGTTATGTTCTAATTAGTTTTAGTGATGTCTGGTTGGTTAGTAACTGAATAGTAAATTTCGTCAGAATTTAGTCAGTTATTAATCAGTTTCTAATTTTTTTCTGGGCAATTTTTAGTCAGTTATTAATTAGTTTTGTATTAATTTCTAGCTAATTATTAATTCGTTTCTGATTAATTAATTATTGTGTTACAATACAATTATTTTGTCAGATTGGGTAGTTTGAATGATTTCTGGGACGATATACAATTAGTCTATGATTCACAATCAACGAAGTTACAAAATCTAAATATAAAAGGTATAATGGATCCCTTTATAAAAGAAAAGCAGTATCCTGTCCTTCGAACACAAACTTTTTATAGCGAGGAACATTCCAAATGGATAACAATTTTAACAAAGTCTTCTCAGAAATGGGTAATACCGTTGACATATACAACGCCGCCGTATAATGATTTTAAGAAAACTGTGCCTTTGCATTATCTAGAAGAATTTAACCGCATAGAACTTAGTGATTCAGAAAAGAAGTGGATAATATTTAATTTGCAACAGACTGGTACTAACTAACGATCAAATATTTTGTTACATCATCGTGTAGATGTCACTAAATTATTAATCTTTATTATTGCTATGATCAAAATTTATTAATTATAGAAAAAAATTAAGCTTTTTTTCATTTTTAAATCAGGTTTTATATAACTAAATATAACATAAAAATTGTAAATTAAAGTATATTAATTGTAAAATTTATTGTAATTTTTACATTTATAATCATTTTAATTGTGATTTATTATTTTCTTTTTTATGTAACAAATTACATTAACATATCTTGTAAAATATATATTATACAAGTATATTTTCTTATATATAATCAAGTCATTTGACATTAATTTGATTTTCTTTGAGATGCATTGTGTGACAAATAATAATTTGTCAAGTAGCTTGATATTACTTAACGATCAAGTTATTAAGTAAATGCGATATTCAAGGGAAAAATTCAATACATTATTCTATAACGAACTTGTACTTTATATTGTTTATAATACTAATTTATTTCAAATTAAAAATATTTTTATTATGTTTGAAAATGAGGAAGTAATATTTAAGAACGTTTTATGTTCCAATTTAATAAGAGCTAAAAAGAAATAATAAATAAATTTTTTGTTATTTATGTGTGATAGGATATTATCGTGTAAATTATAATTTTGACGATTGGATAAAGATTGAAAATTATCTCAATTCCGATGATAATTATAAGGAAATTCATGTTCTTAACCGTGCTCAGATTATCGATGATGCATTTTACTTTGTAACATCAGGCAAGCTCCATTCATCTGTACTATGGAAACTTACGAAATATTTACAGAAAGACAACAAATATGTGGCATGGTATCCTATATTTAAAATTATTGAACGCTTGTCATTCATCATACCATATCATAGTCAAATTACTTATTTCAAGGTAAAGATTTTCTTAATAAAAAACATTTTACATTTATGCATTTTTGAAGCGTGAATTGTATTTTAAATTTATTGTTTAAATAGATTTCTAGAAATGATGTTATTGACTAATAACATAAATGTAAATAAGATTTGTTATTAATAATATAAATAATTAAGATATTGAATAATATATTTTCATTAATATGCTTCCAATAATACTTCTACAATTTAGTTTATATTTCTCCAAACAAATGTCTAATACAAAATTTATAATAATAATTTATATTACTTAGGAAACAATACTCGAACTGTTGACTGCACTACTTTACAAAATTGGATACATGGAAAATGATAACGACGACCCTCATATTAAATGTTTAAGACAAGAAGCTGCCAAATGGGCATGCGTTCTTGGTGATAGGATATGCAAGAAAAAAGCATTATTTAATTTGAAACGGCATTTAGCAAATCAGACGTAACTATTTGTATAAAATTCTAGTATAATCCTATATATAATACCAGTCAAAATGGCTTGAATAAAAATATATAAAAATATATAAAAATATGTATCATACCTTTATAACTAAATTTTCTAGACATAATAAGCTTTTACCATGGTGGAAGAAATGGACATATTGTAATGGTTTATCAGTATCTCACATTCCTTTTGACAACGTATTTAATAACTTGGACGAAATGCTAGAAACCGAAAATCCAGAAACAATGGAAACCCTGGCTTGCTCTAATAATTTTTCTGATTTGTTTTCCATTTTCTTCCAACTGCAAATGAAACGTATTTGTACATATAATCGTAGTAAAGATGAAGTACGAACAAATTCTATCATTAAAAATCACATTAGTTTGTTTCATTATGTTCTTCAGAAACATGGAAATGACAATTTATTTGCTTGCCTATTAGAGAACTGGTATCAAATCAAACCAAAGTAAAGTATTATCGTATCCGTAAATATATTTTGAATTATAAAATTTGTTATACTATTTCTAATATATTATATATTTTATATTTCTAGAGAAATTGGCATAACTGCATCATTAGTTATTATGATAAATAGTGCCTACTCTACGTCTGTTGTTAAACAGGTAAATTTTTGTTTGCGTCATATTATTAATTTCTTACTTTTTTGTTTCTTATTAAATTTTAATATTTCTTATGATACATTATATATCATTATATCGAAGGTGTTTTAAAATAATCCTGCAGAAAACAAAATATTATATTAAGAATTTAAATGTAAAAGTAAATATAATACATTATCTTAGTTGTGAAAGTTGAAAGGAGTATTCACTTTCGATGAATGTATATACGTATTGTAAATGTACATTATTATTTATGACATACAAAGCATGTACGCAAATAAAAAAGTTATCTCATTTACAAAAAGAAATAAGCAATTTAACATGTATATTCTCTATGAGTTTACATAATTCTATTTGAGATATACAAGATCTCTGATAATTATTCACACAATGCATGTGTTTATATGTTGATGAAGTAGACAAAATTGTGTAAAAAAAAAATCTTGCATTTTTTTGCGTGTTTTTTACTTATCAACGAATTATTAGTTAATAAATAACCGAAAACATATACTCATGTGAAAATAAAATCTAGCATTACGCACTTTCAAGGTTTCTATAAACACGTCAATTATGTGAGCTATAAGTGGACGGTCTATCATTTGTAGATATTGCACAATTGCAAATATTTCATTGTGTTTCTAATATAAATGCACGTGACATCGAGCTATCTTATTGTAATTATAAATGCGCAAGTCATTCGTAAACATAACTCTTTAGTATTATAATTTCAAAATTTGCAGAATAATAATAATAAGATCTTTTACTCAATACAAACCATTTTATCTGTACACAAGTAATGTGTCAATAATTATCGGACACTCTATGAAAATAACAAAAATATCATAATTATTAGTATCATATTTAATGTTATTTTCACTCTAAGATTAATTATTCTACAAACTGTATACATATATATTTAACATGTTTACAAATTAATTTTGTAGATAAAGAAATGGACAGATCAAAATCTCGTTGATCCATTACTTTCACATGCTCGAAACAAATTAAGCATGCGCTTGTCTGATATTGTGCATCAGACAGTGTTTTATGTCACTAGATATTCCTACTAGATATTCATAGATATTTCTCCTTTACTGTAATCTATTATTTCCCAAAATGCGCAACTTCCGGCCGATTTTCGTAGTAACCTGCTGCTAGTGTCCTGATGCAGTGCATCGTATGACATCGCACTGATCGTTTGCTGGCTAGTTATGGATTCAAGAAGTAAAGCGAAGCGTCCATTACAAAAATGGGTTGAAAATTTTAATTTGGCAAATATTGCTTCAATCGATTAAATAACAGAAGAACTTTATGACATTAAAGCAGTGCTATCTTTGGTTTGCACTTTAGTATTCACTATCAGTATTGAAGATACATATTTCATGTCACATATATTGTATTATGAATTCTCAATATCGAAAATGAATATTAGAACGCACCCTAGGATTTGTAGTTATGGATTTAAAATAGATATTTATCGATTATATATTTATTTATTGCTTTTTCAATTAGCTATGTTATCATAACTTTCAGTAACCAATTCCGGAAAACGAGGACAGTCTTGATTGTTTAGAAATTTTTGACATG